GAAACACCTGGCTGTAATGCACATGAGTAAGGGGTGCTGGGGGGTGGGGGAGCTAGCGAGGAAGAGAGAGTGGTGGGCTAGAACATCGTCGTTACAGTGGGCGGGGGGGGGGCCTGGCGAGATGCAGTGGCGGTCAGACCACATACAAGGAAGATTAGTGGAGCTATGCCTAAAACGGGAAAGATGTTGTCGCTGTTAGACCCAACACTGGGAAAGTGTTGTAATGGTAGAGACCTAACAGAGAGAAGATTGCTGTGGTGGTTAGACCACATACAAGGAAGATTAGTGAAGTTATGCCTAAAACGGGAAAGATGTTGTGGTGGTTAGACCCAACACTGGGAAAGTGTTGTAATGGTAGAGACCTAACAGAGAGAAGATGCTGTGGTGGTTAGACCTGATATAGGGAAGATATTGTAGTGGTGAGACCTAACAGAGAGAAGAGGATGTGGTGATTAGACCTCATATAGTAGGGAAGATGTTGTAGTGGTGAGACCTAACAGTCTAACAGAAAGAAGATGTTGTAGTGGTAAGACCTAACGGAGAGAAGATGATGTGGTGATTAGACCTAATAGAGAAAAGATGTAGCAGCGGTTAGACCTAACAGAGAAAAGATACATGTGGAGATTAGACCTAATACGGCGAAGAAGTGTTCTAGTGGTGAGACCTAACACACAGGGAAGGCGTTGTTGTTAACAGACAAAAGGTGATGCTTCTACAGTGGCGGCTAGACGAAAACAATCAAGAAATAACGACGTCTGGCCACACTTTAACTCCGGGTCGGCAGCTACAAACAAAATATTGACGGGAAAGCGCAGATGGAGGAGGATGGGGCAGAGATGGGAAGGATCTAGTGGTGGCGTAACCAATGGTGGTCATTGGGGACCCATGGGTGACGTTCATGAGTTTGGAACACTAGTCATTGACGATGATGAAGACGGTTCTGAGGTGTTTTCTTTATATTGTTTGTTGTTGTTTTTTTCCTCAGCCCAAACACGACATCATCATTGGCAACGTTAATTTAATGCCGATGAATGGTGTCATCACACATATAAGTTATACAATGACGTCATCACACATATAAGTTATACAATGACGTCATCACACATATAAGTTAATACAATGACGTCATCACACCTATAAGTTAAGACAATGATGTCATCACACATATAAGTTAATACAATGACGTCCTAACACATATAATTTAATACAATGATGTCATCACAAATATAAGTTAATACACTGATGTCATCACACATATAAGTTAATACAATGACGTCCTAACACATATAAGTTAATACAATGATGTCATCACACATATAAGTTAATACAATGACGTCCTAACACATATAAATTAATACAATGATGTCATCACACATATAAGTTAATACAATGATGTAATCACACATATAAGGTAATACAATGACGTCATCACACATATAAGTTAATACAATGATGTCATCACACATATAAGTTAATACACTAATGTCATCACACATATAAGTTAATACACTAATGTCATCACATATATAAGTGTAATGTCATCACACATATAAGTATAATATCATCACACATATAAGTGTAATGTCATCACACGTAAGTATAATTCCATCACATTTGTAAAATAAAGACATGATACATATATGTATGTAATGTATACCAGCGTTTCCCAAACTTTTAAGTTTCACGGACCGGTGGACAAGTTTCGAAACTACACTAGGGACCGGTGCCAGATTTATTAATTACATTTTCTTTCTATTTAAACATAAATATTCATGCTCTCTGGACCGGTGCCGGTCCACACGGACCACCGTTTGGAGAACGCTGCTGTATACTATTTACGGAAAAAAAACTACCTACAAATAATGCTAGCATGATGCTACTATTGCAACAAAACAAACAATAACATTCTAACATCGAAATACCCATTACACATTTAATGTGTAATGAAGTTAACACACACTACCACTAATGATACGCACGTTAAATTACTTTGCACACCAATGCCATCATTAGTCCAGCTCTTCATGTGAACAGTCTTTCTTTTGTTTTTAAAAGAAAGCGCGCAGATGTCAACGCATATTACAGTTTTACAGGAATCCTTATGAGTCGAATGCTATCCAAAGATTCAACACGCAGGCGAGACCAATGATCCCACCTCCAG